ATACGCCATTGACAGTTTCTAGCATAACGGAGTTCTATGCACCCCTGATGAGTACGGATTCATTGCTGTGACCGTTGAGTCGTGAAGGCGACTTCGACCGTTCAACACGTACGCTAGACACCGACTCGCCGGGAGCTGAGCTCCCGGTTACCCTCAACCTGGTTTGGCCCTCCTGTCGAGCGGTTTACCGGGGTGTGGTCGCTGTTGTATCCAAAAATCTTCTTTGAGCCACAGGTGAAAGCTGAGCGCCTGGTGGAGACCAAAGAACGGAGGATGTTCCAAAGAGACAGATAGCCCTCCGAGTCAGATATGCTACTCCTACCGGATCCCCCATACACAACACTGTCAGCTTATGGTATTCTACGGTCCTGATGGTATGTCTAACCACATCCGTTTTGTGAAACTTGGATGTAAACCTTTAACAAAAGAGTGATGTGATATATCAGTCAGCTGGTAATTCATCGAAAATAAGCTTTGGGGGCTAAAGATGTCTTTCTTTCAATGCCCACTTTTGGCTTATTCCTCTTTTATTTTTCATGGTGCTTTCCTTTTTCCCGGCTAACAAATGGGAAACTTTTTCTCTCATCCCAATCAAACTGGTCTTGATAGTGAAGGAAATGCATGTTGTAATGATCGGTGTGTATTGTTTGAATAAGTCACGTTCTCCAAATGCAGTGAATAGATGAATTTACGTGTATGTCTTTGAAATATTTACATGAAGCAACGGAATACTCAGTGAAATAATCCTGATTGGGACTAGAAAAAGCATGACCACATACAAGAGTGGTGCGGGTCTTGGAATAAAGCATGGTATAGTTGTCCACCAGCAAACCGCTCCCCCCCTTCCAAGTCTCACGCTTGTACTAGGGCAAAGGTGTTTGGCTGTTTGGTACGATGATGCCGACCGAGTTCTTTAATTTCGTATGCATGAAGTGAGTAGCTATCTCTGTTACCAGTCTGTAATAGATTTGACGAGTTTATAATTCCGCGTTCGGAAATGTGTTCTGCATTTGATTCAGGCTCTCGGGAGAGGAAAATGGATCCACAAAGTTCAGGATCTATTCAGTTTGTTTTTTCATTTCCTGTTCCCGGTCATCTTTTTTACAAATTCTGTTGTGTGCACTCAAACGAGTGTGAACTTTTCTAGACTATTTTCATTCACGTGAATCACTGTTTGATAGGGCTCCCAACAGTTGGGGTCTGGTGTTTCGGTTCGTTGCTCTACCGTCGAATTGTCCGTGTCAGCAACGAGTTTGGTCTCAATGACGGTTGCGCATGTGGTTGTGCTCGTAATCAAACTATCTGTAGGATGTATCACGTTCACCGGGAGACCCCGAGCAAACAGTGTTGGTGTGCCGGCTGGTCTCATTTCTAAAACCGGAGTACAGCTTGTCCGTGTTGTTAGCATTAGTGGAGAGGCGGGCACAGGCTGTCCTATGACTTGATGTTCACCTGAGCTCAGTGCATAGTTCACCAGGGTTCGGTTTAGTAATTGTGGTGTCAGATCACTGTCGTTGGGACTTTGTAGTGCAGAGTCATGTGAATAAATTCCATCATCTCGATTAGATGAACTGGGTTCACTGGACCAAACGGAACCATCTGGAGCATACCAACCCAGTTGAGACTCTTCAGCACTTTTCACATTTCTGGATCGTTCAGTATTGGGGACTGTTCGGCGTTCAATTCCCGTATCGCTTGCAGTCTTTTCAACTGCACTCTGGTCCAGAGTCACACTGGAGCTACCTCCTCGTCCACTGCCCCATTCTGAGCCAGAACTTGGTCCACGACCGGAATCTCTATCTTCGGTTTCCGAACCAAGCGATCCACCAGAACCAAAGCCTGGAGGAGGCGGGGGAATCTGCGGATGGTTCGCGCACAACGAACTTGTGGGATAGGCAAATGGATAACGCGGAATATCCGGTCTGTAGGAACCGTATGGGAACCGATTTTGAGCCGAAATAGATGAGGTTGTAGATGGTGAAGGGAAATCCATGGATGTATTGTGTACTCGCGCACAGTTACTCTGTAGATAATCATGTTCTGCGAGTGAACGTGTGCAAGAGTGTAATGTATTATTCACATCAGGATCTGCGCTAGCTGAGGATGCCGAAGGAACACTGGTGTGCATTCGGTTGTTCCGTGTTGTTTGATTTTGGTGCCATAATCGAAGAAGTTCCGAACTGGGCAGTAGGCGGCAGTGATTTCTTGGCACGAAACCAGGTGGACCGGTGGCCACTAAATGATCGACACACCATCGACGCACGTACAACCACGTGTTCGCATCATCATCAGCCGCATTCGCATTTGCTGACCCAGAGTTTTGACCGTTTCGCTCTTTGGTTGATCGTTTTGTAGTGACCGCCTCCGAAGATGTTCTGCTTTTCATCGGCCTGCTAAGAACACACACATAATCGCCTTTTCTCACAGGAATAACCTTGTATTGTTGTTCCCATTCCGGCAGTGGTTTGTAGTCAGCTGTGATAGCAGCTAGTAGGTCACTGCCTTGTCCAGCCATTGGACCGATGTTGTATGCGAACGGATTTTCATTGGCTATAGCTCGATTGTTCGTCGGTCGATTTATATAGTCCACTTGTTCTTCATTTGAGAGTTTATGTGCTCTCCTGGAGAGAACACAAGACTGAGGGTGATTAACTGTAGTGCCCACATAGACCTGTTCATAATCCACTCGGAGTGGTGCCAGGGGCTGTAGTGGCATACATACATTGGCATTTTGGTTCGACCAACTATTCGAACTTTTTGTTGTAGAATTATTGACTGGTGGAAAATCCTTTGAGTGCTTCTGGAATTTTCCGCTTAAATTCTGTGCTGTTGTAGACTGCCTGAGAGCTGTAGCTTGACGTGTTTTGTTTCGGCTAGTCAGTGCGGATATAGTGCGTTCATCCCAACCCAAAGCTTCGAGATCTTCCTCGCTGCTTGAGCTGCTGCTACTCACCGCATGCACCGGAAGGTTGCGTCGCTTCTTCTCTGAGAGACACTTTCGATTGGAAAGGTTAGATCGGTCTTTCTTTCGGTTTTGATGTTGTTGCCCAACTGAATAACGTCTGGTCATCGCGTTAGCTACCGACTGAACCAGATTTCCATCACTGTTTGAAACCATTCGCAGATCCAAACTGGATGTGCTGTCTGTGGTCACTGTCGTTGTGCTACTGCTGGTTTTACATTCACCCGGTCTCTCGGGTCCGGTAAGCGATTCATCACTGCTAGAACAGCTACTCAGTGAACCATTACTCTGGCCAGAATGGTTTGTTTCATCACTACTATCGTCTGCATCCATGTCTGCAAGCCAGCTTTGAAATGATTTCGAATCACCTCTTCCACGCAGTCGACGTTCGGATGTTTGTCTCGCTGAACCTCGGGGTTTCTCGGCCCAGTTGTCGGACAAGGAGGACACCATACGTTGGTTGAGGAGCTTCGATTGGCCGTCCAATAGGAGTGGTGGTGAAGGGCTGGGAGATGCTTGCCACACTTGAGTTGGCAAGGTAGATTCGAAAGTGACTGAGATGCCTGGAATACGTCGAACGGATGAAACTGGTTGCGGTGAGGCGCTACTGGCTCGAATTTTCCCACGACCTGATCGATGCGTTGTAGTTCTCGATTTTGTAGATTTCCCATTTTTGAGAAATTGAGGTGGATGGGAATCACGCATCTCCATGCTACCATCCAAAATCTCAATGTGCCCTGTTTCAGAGGTATTCTTTCTGCATTTGGTTTTCTGTTTGCGGGAAAACATGGATAGCATTATGAGCACGAGAGTTCTGTTTTCCCTGAGAAGAATGCTAGTTGGAAGTTGACGGGCCTGAAAATTGAAAAAGAAGAAGAATCGGTGAGACTGAGGAATGCAAACATGAATCTAATCATGATACATCGAGTGATTTAACAAGCCTATTCAATTTATCATGATGGTTAGAACGAGTAAGGAAAAAAGATACGATTTTGTTGGAGAATTCATCGATTCTATTTTAACCGCTTTTGCTGATTGTTGACAATTTACTTTGATATACTGATGTAGTTTGTATGTCTGTATTCACTCAATCCTATAACCTATTATTTACAATTACAGAGTTGCTTTGTTCCTAAAAAGGATGAGACAAAATATTGACTAACAACTCCGTTCACTTGTTCCAATCATGAACAATGAGTTTGTATTTTTGTTCTTACAAGACGTCCCCGCCGTTAATTCATTCAGTTAATAAGCTTAGGTTAGCGTGTAAGAGAATATGCTTTTACAAGGGACTTCTGGTAAATCACTATAGTTTGACAAACTCAATAGGGGTTCGGTGTTCTTTTCTCGCCTCCTATCCGGTCTGTCACACACTCGCGCGGTCGACCCCAATTATTCGAACAAACTAACCGTGATCACAACACCCTGACCTGTGCGCTGTTTGATCAACCGAATCATGCCCCCAGGGGGTGACGGACTATCCCTCATTTGTCCACATCCTTGTGGCTTGCAATAAGTACAACGAGGTGGACCAGGAACGGTGTGTGGAAGATATTTGTCCTCCACAAGTCTCCGAGTTCAACGGGATTCCGCTCCTGTGTGATATTTTTTGTTTACTGCAAATAATCCATTCGTCACAAGAACAAAGCGATCCATTTTACTTATCTTGTTCCATAGTGGTATTAAAGGGGAATGTTAATCAGAAAATGAAATGTACTGTTTCACTAAGCCCGGAAGTCGATAAAGTAGGACACGTTTAGCAGTCTCTTTTAATTGAAAACATTTAATTTAGTGGATAATTAACGGAAATGTAACTTCCATGGTTTATTCTTCGGTTGGACAATGAGTCCAAAAAGTGCATCGTTGCTTTTTTTCAAATGTTTTTGACACTTATTTCTGGTATGAACCTGCTTTCATTATCGACTACCAACTGGATTTATCATGTTTCAATGTCGGACTTAACTAGTGTCCTCCGATCAAGAATTCATAAGAACATGTGTGCAGTCTGTGTTCAAGAATCCTGGTTGAATAAGGACGTAGATGACTCTCTAGTGTCACTAGATGGTTTTCAAGTTTACCGGCGGGATCGTGGAACTCGAGGAAAAAAGACCGGAAGCGGTGTTGACACATATGTCAATGTTTCCTGGTGTGGCAAGTCCC